TTATTTACGGCTTAGTTATGACATTTTATAGGTTTTCGGTTTCCGCCATTTTGTGGGCGTGGCAGTGGGCCGATTTTGCCCATCTTCGAACTTAACTTTCTTATGGAGCCAAGAAATACGTGTACCAAGTTTCATCATGATATCTCAATTTTTATTCAAGTTACAGCTTGCACGGACGGACCGACAGACGGACAGACGGACGGACGGACAGACAGACAGACATCCGGATTTCAACTCTACTCGTCACCCTGATCACTTTTGTATATATAACCCTATATCTGACTCTTTTAGTTTTAGAACTTACAAACAACCGTTATGTGAACAAAACTATAATACTCTCTTTAGCAACTTTGTTGCGAGAGTATAATAACACCAATTCCAGGGTATATCAAAGAGCTCATTGTGCAGCACTACGCAGATTGGCCACTCATTTTTACTGACGCTTTTTTTAGTTCATAAAAAGATTATTTATTTATTATTTGTAAAATAATAATACAATTATTATTATACATTAAACATAAACAGCACTAGCTTCAGCTCACGGTTTTAATATAAACAACTTAAATAATAAAGATGGAACCTTCCATTTAAGAATTATTCACAAGCAATATGTTTTTATGAACTAAAAATATAGAGATAGGTATTCAGATATTTTAGTAATGTTTACAATAGACGATATTTTTAATAAATCAAGACTTTATTATTCTGAAATATACTGGTCCTTGCTGAATTGAAGAAGGTGCATTCATCTAGAAGATGTGTTATAGAGAAGGAGAGAACTACAATATAGACAGGATGAATTAAGGTTTCCATTTAATAAATGGGAATGCGTTAATGACGTATGACCAAGACGAAGACGAACAAAGGCTTTTATATCTTGGCAACGGCCTGATGGCGGATAAGCAGGTTTTTTGCCCTCTTGGTTGCAGATGGCGTAGTGGTGTTGCACATTCTTCCAAGCATTAACTTTTATAGCTTTTATGTTTAGAAGCAATTAAATGAATTATGTCGTTTTTTCGATGTAGTCGAAGACAACCATTCATATCCAGTAATACCGGCGTGTCCAGGGATCCACATAATTTTTGTGTTTGTTTTCCCAATTAGTATGTTTCTAATATGCGCAATGAAATAGGATTTGTGAGATGCATTTAGGAGAGCTGAGATAGTAGACTTGCTATCAGTACATATTAATGTTTTTAAGTTAGAGCTTTGTACTAGGGATAGCGCATTATAGATGGCTGCTGCTTCTGCGGTGTATACTGAGCTGTAATTGTGCAGGAGTCCAGCTTTTAACGTATTTCCAACGTTATCAACAAAAAAAGACGTGTAGAAGTCGGCCTTCGAAGCGGTAGTAAAAATGAGTTGCCAATCTACGTCGTGCTGCACAATGAGCTCTTTGAACAAACTTTGATATACCCTGGAATTGGTGTTATTTTTATGATGTTTTTGAAGATGTAGCTCGAACGAAGATTCTTTGAGTAGCCGTGATGGGGCACAAGAAATAGACTTTTCCTCAGGTGTAGTGGTTATACCTAGGTCCTTAGCTAATTTAATGCATTTAGAAACAGTGGAAGAAGTATTGGAGTTTGTATTGTCGGTCCATTTGGCTTTTACTATACCTTATAAGAGCTTGTTATTACATAATAGTAGTTTTGGAATAAGCTTTTGCGAAGTATGTAAAACTCTTTCCTCGATGGATGGGAGTCCGGCTTCCGTTATTGTGAACTTTATTTGTGATGTTTGGAATGCCCGAATACTTCTTCTAACGGCTGCATGATATGGTGCAAAGATTTGCTTTATGTTGCTTTTGGCACAATTGCCATAGATAGGGATACCATAATCAATCTTAGATAAAATTAATTAAAGCTCTTGTAATATTGATGAGAGAAGAAATGTGAATTAAACAATATTTTGATGATAGATACTTAATTATATTAAGCCTAGAAACTAGTTGCTTTCGTAGTTTTATACAATGTTCCTTAAAAGTAAGTCTCTTATCAAATATTAAACCTAGGAATTTAAGACTAGTAGTATTTACAATATTTACATTATTATAGTTAAGATAGAAGTTATTATATTTGTGTTTTCTACGAATTTCTCGGAATACTATTTCGATTCTTTATAATCGAAGTGTCTCACGGTCGAATAATTCTATTTTAATATATCGATATTTTTGGTTGCCTCGTTCAGTTTTAGTATTTGGCTGGTACGTAATAGCTAATTAAAAATAACTCCATAACTCGAACTTCAATAAATCGAAGGAAATTTCATACAATTTTCCCTCCGTAACTCTCTAAGTCGAATGGGGGTTCAAGTTATTGAAGTTCAAATGTAGATTGAATTTTATAATTTCCCATTATAAATTACCAATTTTCTATTAATATTCTTCCTAAATAAATTGAGTAATGTTTAATTACTAACTGTTTGTTAGCAGTTGAAATTTTTTTGAGACTTATCGAAATTTTTTCTTTTACCATATTACCGAATTTCGAAATATCAACAAGTTGGGTTGGAAACCAATTTATCTATAATGTTCAAAAACGACTTAACGAATGTTTTGTGTAAAGAAATAATTTTAAGTTATAAAGACTGACGGATACCCTGAGTTTGTTGTCTAACGCTTCTTCTTTTATTCAATAGTTCACAATTGTAATGACAATTTGAGAGTCTAATTTTTCGTGTGCGGTGGTGTTTCCAATTTTACTATTTCATATAAATTAATTGGAAATGTCTAAACAGAATTGATTTTTTAACCGATATTTTTTTTATTGTTAAACAATACTTAATTAGTAAAGATTTTTTACTAAATATAATAACGCCGTTATTGATTGTAAAATAATTAGCTACATTAGTCCTTTATGTTGGGTAAACCCGAGAGCTATTTTTTTAACTTCTTAACAAAACCTCGGTTTGTGTGAGAATGTCGTTTGCATTCAAGATAGATAAAGCGTTGAAGGCGAATTTGTATAAAATATGTCGTCTTTGTGGAATCGATAGAGAAGACAAGTTCGACATTTTGGATGCTAATACTGAAGATCAGGAGCCGGTAGACTGTGACGGCGAATTGAAACTGCACCAAAAAATTATTCAATGCATTGGCATTACAGTAAACGATATACAACATGTATAATTTCTTACAATGAAATAAGTTGATCAATTGTTATTTTAGGTTTGCAAGGATGATAGAATGCCTCAAAGTGTTTGTGGACTTTGCGTGGATAAAATCAATGATTTTTATGAATTTCGTGAAATGTGTTACGCCACAGATGTTCAAACGAGGAAGTTACTTGGATTGAAAGGCGGGGCACAAAAAAAGGTAAAAACTATAGAAGTTGAAACATAATTTTAAAGTGTTTATTGTTTTAGATCGTTAATGCAGATGTTAAACCTAGTATTGATATAAAAGAGGAAGCCTGTGCAAAACGTGGACGTAAGCGAAAATCAGATGAGATTGCAAGAATGGAAACAACTGAAATAAAGCGGGAAACCGGCCCAATAGTGCTGACAAATAAAAAGCAACGTTTAAACGAGCCATCAGACACAAAAAAGAAAGGGAAATTTGGGAAAACAGTTGATAAAAGTTTAAAGCCTAAAGATGAAATGTAAATATGTATAAATAACAATATATAGTATTAAAAGAAGTATGTTGGTTAATGGATTATCTAAGATATAATATGAAATTTTTAATAATGAAGAAAACAATTGTACTGCATAATTTTCATGACAATTATATTTCTAAATATTCGCAGAAAAGAAGAACCCATGGATATGGAGAAACCAACATCTACGAATATCCATAACACGAAGTTTCGACATGTGTGCAATATATGCGATCAAGGGTTTATTAGCAAAGTAAAATTGGATCAACATATTGGGGCAGTACATACGCCAAACATACCACGATATATTTGCACCGCTTGTAATGAAACTATAAAAAAAACTAACGACATCAAAAGTCATCAGTTATGGCATAAGTTAAGTAAAACGCCTTACATATGCGGACATTGTGGCCAATCGTTGATAAGTTCCTATGCGTATTCAAGGTACATATAGGTATTTTTTCATAAAACAGATTTGAGTTTAAAAGTACTTCTTAACAGACATCTACGGGATCACACTGTGGAAATTCCTCCAAATTTGTGGGTGCTTGATCGTGAATGTCCTCAATGTCGTCACACTTTTTTAACGAACTTTCTTTATAATACACATTTATGTGCAGTACGGACTAAAAAGTGTGCGGGTTGTAATCGTCAATTACGTAATGAGATTGAGTATCAGCGACATGCAGCTCACTGTGCAAAAGTTTATTTGAATTACTCAAAACATATACCAGTCGCTGCTCTCGCAGCCGAATCCACAATTCGTATTAAAAATGAAAACGAAGTAGAGGCCGCTGCTGCCGAATCGTTTGCTCGCAACGCTGGCATATCGTTGGAAATGACGCCCATTGTGTCGTTAACTCGTATTTCGACGCCTGAAATTCTTGCTGCTAGTCTTGGTTGTAGTACAACAGAATATACCAGCGATGGTACTGGAACACAAATTGACGATGGAAAAATGTCCGGAAAAAAGGGCAGTAAAAAAGGAGTCTCTCGAAAAGATCTTAAAAGGGTAGATAACTTATTGAAATCAACATTAGATGTACTGGTGAGCATTAAGCATGAGCCAGAGGTTCATGTAGGAATTGATTCCGAAACACCAGCACCATCCGATGAAACCGCCAACACAGCGGAGGAGGCTGATATGACGAACGATGACGGTTTTCACCGTGGAGATGATGATGATGATGATGAGCATGATGATGATTCGAATAATGATGGTGAAGGGGAAACAGCTGAAGTAGCAATGAAACGTGAACCAGCCGAGGAATGTTTTGCTCAAAGTGCTGTGCATATTAAGCAAGAAGTGATTGACGTAGATAATGGGAATTTAGCTCCAACTACTAAAATGCCAGTATTGAAATTGAAGATCAAAAAAGAACATGGCACATTAAATTCATCGATTGTCGAAGAACAAAGTGTCCGCGTAGAAAAAAAAAAGAAGAAGAAAAAACGGAAAGATGCTATGCGTAGTAAAGATAAGGCGGTAAGTACAACGAAAGGTTCAAAACAGTTGAAGTTAAATATGAAAATATGATAATACGGTTTATTTACTTTTAGTTGGATGAAAATGATCTTTTGTCTGGGAATGGGACTGTGCACAACGAATCTGAAGCTGCTGGTGGTACTATGTCAAATCAAAAGTTATTAGGGTCTGTAAAACAAGAGCAACTGGATGAAACTGACGAGGAATATGATAGTAATAAATTAGATAGTAATGAAGCGTTACATCTAGAGCCAACGGTCATGACCACAATTCCAATACCGCAATTCCAAATATCTGCAATTTCAAGTGGCGTTGAATTCAGCGATAATATCGAGTCCGGTATCCAAGGCAAGGCTAATGATGAATCTAGTGAAGCAGCGACAGCACAGCCTACTTGTGTTGAAGGCGAAGTTGAGGATATTAAGCCAAACAAAGCAGAATTAGATCGCTTATTTCAAATCGCTAACGTTAGTTGTGGTGTGCAGATGGAACATGAACAAGGAAGTGAAATTGAGAGAGAATCAGACTGTAATAGTGAATATTCAAATTCTAACATCCCAGTTACAAGTATGGTACAACGTAAACTTGAGAAAAGCGTACATAAAGTTGTTAAACATAAACGTACAGAACAGAAGATTGGGACCCCATCGCGAACGGCGAAGGCATACAAGTCTACATCAGGAGTTAATAAGATAAGCGCAAATATCGACAGTGGTATTTCTCAAGCCAATTTAGGGTATCTTCCCCAAATTCAAATTAAACCTGAACCAGTTGATCGTGGTTATGAGGATATATTTAACGCGTATGAGTCGGCTACAAATTCCTCTGCGACAGAGACATTACAATTGTCCGTAAGAGAGATGGCGGAGCAGGAATATTTAAATAATATTGATTTCGCAACTATTCAAATCAAACAAGAAAAAGATCTTGATGTGTCCGACGTCGAGATGACAAATACACATATCGTGGCAAATGCCATACCCAACGGAAATCGAACAAATGGTGAAGAATCTCAATATTCTGAAAACGATGAGGACTCGGATAGTATGTATAATGAAGAAACCGATGAAGATGAGGAAGATGATGACAATGATGATGATTGGGTAGGCATTAAAAAAGTAGAAGAAGAAAAACGTGAGTATCGTGAACTCGACATGCCGCCGCTGTTAGCAACAGAGTTTCAGGAGTCAAGTGAAAATGAAGTTGTTGACGATATATCGGAGTCAATGGAAAGCAGAAGCAACGAACAAAAGAAATCTGAGTGCGATTTAAATAGCACTAGTAATGAAGATTTACAAGCACCTCCATTAATGATAACAAACATTTACAGTCAAGCCGACGGTGGGGTGACTGAAAGATTCCTGCAAACAAATGTTACATCTGTGCCCCATGATGAAATAAAGTATTCGCATAATGCGAAAGAACTTCTTGTTGAAATGCCAACATTAAAAATTGCAAGTGTCATTGCTGGGTGTTCGACCAGTTTTGATAATTTTTCAAAAGATGATAATCAGTTCATCGACAATTTTCCACCTTCGTTTGCCGGGCAACTGACGGAGGTCGGGGATGTTTTTGAAAGCAGACATATAAGAAACAACGAACGTAGTGATTTAACAAGTGGTATCATTGATACACATCCCGAACCACATACGATGAGCATTGAGATAAGTCAAAACAAAGATGCTCTTCTTGATGCTCAGCCATTTCCAGATGTTCGAGTAGATAACGTATCAGTCATGAGTTCGTCACAAACGGTATTAAATTCGAATATAAATATAGCTTTGAATTCTGCTCAGAACAATCCGGTTGAACTGGTGGATGAGAACTTGGTTGAAGAAGAGCAGAACCTTCTTAACCAAGAAATGGTCGAGGCACAAGCCTTCCAAGGATTGGTACTTGGTGCTGAAGAATCCTTTACATTGAATGCGCCAATACAAAACGTTGAAGAGGCCGAGAATCTTATGAATGAAAGCGTAGCCGAAGCACAAATGCAGCGACAAGAACCACATACTGACGTTCCAACAAGTACGCACATGATCTTGCAACCAAACCAATTAGAATGCTGTGATAGTGCCAATGACAGTATTGAGGGAACAAGTCAAAGCAGAATAATCAATAATGCATTCTTGATGGATGAGAGTAACATTAATGAAATCGCCGAAAATAACAATAATGCAAATATAGAGCGCGAATTACAAGACGATGTTGCCTCAACTACAACTGCCAGCTCGAATGCGGCCAATTCCAGCGACAATGACACCGATAGACGAAACATTACAGATACCAGCGATAGAAAAACAACTGATATAACATGAAAATAGAAATAAATTAGGCATACACACAATCTACATTTTAAACAACAAGGGTTAGGTACTATGTGAAAAAATTACAAAGAGTCGGAAGTTCAATTAGAATTAGGCTATTGATATTTTTTTATAAGTTGGGCTAGAACCGTTCACACCAACTGGTTTTCGCTATTATTCAGTAAAGAAGTGGTTTAATTAGGTAAGTTTTAGCTTTTTTTTTATTATATTTTGTATTATACATATGTTTAACCATAATGTGTATTTTTTTTAAGTATAAAAAATACGTATGTACTATTTAATTCTTGTCAGAGGATTTATATATATTTATTATAGCTTTCAGTTTTTTGTTGGTTAATGTGGCACTTAAGCTGAATTATTAAATTAAGTAAGAAAATTAAGCTTAAATTACGTAAACATGTTATTTACATGAACCATGGTGTTTAATCATGAGCTCAATCTACTCTACCAGAGTAGCATTAATTTTCGCATATATGTACATATATACAAAAAATGTGTATATAACAATTTTTATGTGGTAATTGGTTCTAAAGGCCCAACTGGATATATATTATTTTTATGAATGTTAAGCTTTGTGGATTGAAGGCATTACGACACATTTTATTGAAATACATGTTAAAATAATTTTATAGCATATAGCATATAGCAATGCCATATTGCCAATTTGTAAATTAAATACATACGTGAAAAGCATTATAAGTATATTATTTTTTGTAATCAAAATGTATCAAAAATATCAATAATTGCATAATATAGATTACTAATAAATTCGTAATACAAACATTAGCAATATTTGTTTTGATGACAACCTGGATTAGGGCAGCTCTTGGTTGCCGCACTCAGTATCGGACAAAACATTTGCAACTGAAATGTGATATTGAAAATATTGTCGATTATACAGCAAATAATTGCCGGAGACCTACTATTTTAATTTTATTTTGAAATATTAGATGTTAATTAAGGTAAACAAAGCAAATTTAATAATTTACTTTAATGTATATAAAAAACGATATAACATCATTATTCAATATTCAAAAAGACAAAACAATTGCAACTCAAAGAAAATGGTTCACTATTTTTAATAAAATAAAAGAAAACTTAGTATTTTATAGCAAACTCATTACTCTCAATAACTGCTTTGCATCGCAGTGGGATTGGAGCTATAGAGTTATCCACTCTGGTTTGGAGTATAATTCTCCATGCCTCCAGGGCCCTTTCAAAAAACTGATCAGTATTTGACACATTACTGCGATCAATTCTTTTTTTTTTTTTACAATTTCGTATAAATTTTCTAAGGAAATAAGGCTTGGGAACTGTGGAGTCACTCCATTACATCCACTTTATTCCTATGCCATATGCTTCCTATGCCATAGGCTTGGGAACTGTGTAGTCACTCCATTACATCCACTTTATTCCTATGCCATATGCTTCGGGTCGTTGTCCTGGTGGAAGACCCACTTAGTTGCATTTCCCATTCACCATTAATACGTTAAAGCGGCCCCAAACCAGAAGCAGACCATAACTATGGGGATGTTCGAGCAAGCAAATAACTGCAGCAATATTGCGAGAGTGTTGCTTTTCTGGAGATACTTATATTGCAACATCTTTGCGTCGAATATGAGGCCTTGCTGCAGTGATTGAGACTCGAACATCCCCTATGCTTGACTGTTTTTAGACAATAGAAATTTTTAAGACGCTTGTTCGTGTGGGCGTCGAACGAAACTTACGCCATCACTTCCTATCAAATTAAATTTGGACTCATCACAAAAAAGAACAGTTTTCCTCTTGCTTATTGGCCATTCTAGATGATTTTTACCGAACACAATCGTTTTAGTTGGTTACGTTTGCTAATAAGCGGTTTCTTCGCTGGTCGGTAACTGTGTAAATCTGCGTTATTTAGGCGATGAGTGATCGTTCTTGAGGAGAGTGGTAACCTAAGCTGCTTTACTAATTGCGGAGTTCTTTAAAATGGATAATCTTGACAGTTGAGCTGTCAGTTTTTTCATCAGTTTTTCTTGGTCGGCGTCCACGATGCACTATTTCGACAGTTTTGTTCCTAATAAAGTTCGAAATTATTCGTGAGATTGATGACTTGTGAATTCTATACCGTTATTATTATTATAAAAAGAAGCGAACAAAGAAGAAAAGAAATGAAAAATACAGAGTTGCAATTGTATTGTCGCGGCGGATTGGCGTACATTTGAATTTGATTTTCAAATATAACCGGCAAAATAAAAAAAAACGCTATAAACGTTAAAAACAAAAAGGAATTCAAAGGAAAAAGGCATTGTAAGACAAAAAAAATGTAGAACTTGGAACTGGAGTTGCAAATGTTTTGTCCGATACTGTACATGAATAGCGAGTATGCCTTGCGACTTAAACCCATACACCACGACAAGGTGACTTTGAAAAGAGATTATAAAATAAAATAATTTACTGCTAAATAAACTGGCATAACATTTTAACTTCTAACCTTCGAATTTGAACCTTTTGGGCAATAATAATCTAGCCAACAATTGTAAAGGCTTTTTAAATCCAGAGTTTAGGATTTGTTCTTATTGTCGTAGGGGCAGAAAAAATTCGACCGTCGTGGGAACGGAGAGTTTAGGGTTTAGTAGTCTTTGTCTGAATGTATACTGAAAATTAAGAAAAAATAAATAAAAAAAATAGTAGCATATCTTTGGTAAGTTAAAGATCTTTTTATTTATTATATTTTAACTTGGTTAGCCATACACATAATTTTAATAAATATGTTAATAATCTTAGAAGTTTCGTTTTAAAAAATATTTCACCAAAAAAATATTTTGCTGTTTATTTTTAATTAAATATGTAATAATAGTCTGCCATATGAATTAATGACAGAAATGACATAAGTTGACATTTATCAAATAATATGCATACATACTTGAATTTTATTTATTAGCTGTATAGCAACTAATTCTTTACACTCTAAAGAAATGACTAATTTTTTGCATTAAATGCGTTCTTGTTACCAAGTAACTTAGATTAACTTATATTAGATAACGGTTAATATTGGTACTAAATTAACCGACTCTAGCGAAAATTTCCAAAAAAGTGATATTTTTTTTAACTACAACTTATAATTTTTCACTTAATAATTATACATCTAGAGTTAAAAGCAAATAAATTTGTATCTACATATAAGTTTGAGTGTGCATGCTTGTATATATGTATATATATTTAGTAGTATTGCTTCTTTACTAATTTTAATTATTTTTTTTTAGATTTTACTTTGCATCTCAGTGTGGATAAATTTTGGTTTTGTTCGAGTTTCATTGCTCTATGTTGTAGGTGCATCTTTATAGCTGGTGTAAACAATTTTTCTGTATACTTATTTCATATTATTAATATTAACTCAGTTTTATTCTGGTCTGTTTCAATGAAGTTCAGAATCACAATTGCTTTACTGATATTGACAAAAAATAATTCCATATAATAATAAAAACATTTAAAGTGTGTGCCTATGTTGAAATTGCAGTATAATAAAATTGTATGTTCATCTTTTTTAATTGGGTATCTCGGTAGGCACCTTTGCAAAACTGATGTAAGTAAGAATTTCAAATATTAATCAAATGCATACATACCTATAAACACAAAAGATAATTTATTTGAAATTTTTTGAAAACTTCACATGTGTCATATATGCACATATGTCATATATATATAGTTGCAAGTGAAGTAATTATTGTTCTTGTTGAATTGAAGCTGATCTCCACGTAAAGATCATTTGCTTCCAGTCGTTTTGACTCAGCTTCAAAATTTTATTTTTTAAAAATCTATGAATAACTTTTTGGCACATCAATGACCTATGTACATACATATATGGTATTTTAGATTAGTCACTCCAAGCTGTGCTTTCGGATATGTTAAACGTCTAGAGGAATAACAGAATCGAAAGATACAGACGTACGTAATTAATGTAAAATTGAAAAGAATAATCTTAAAATATTTATTAACTGCCTTTAATAATGTTTCTAAAGTTTCTCGGTTTTGCTCTTTTCAATGTTTCTTATACATCCGAACTAAATGCTAAGAAGAGTTCATGTACTGATCGAACGATTTCAGGCCCTAAAAATTTTTCTCTTTTGGTCTTCTTGTATATTTTCCCAATTGTAAAAGTACTAAAAATTCACCTTGCTAACTAACATACGATTACATACGCGTATACTTCCCTCCACCACTTCATTGGGTTTACTATGTTTCAGATTCAGTTTCATATTTCTAATATACATTTATATATATTTTATTTTTGTACAATAGTTTATAGTTTTCAAGTCGATTCTTTGTTATGCTATACTCGTACAAGTTAAACTTTGTTTCACTCCAAGAAACATTCCCTAAGTCTATCACTTGTTTTGGATTTGTTCATAAATAGAAATATTTTTATAACTTTATACTAACATTAGCTACTTAGTGGTAAAGAATTAAATTTTTAATTGAGCAAGGATATGCAATTTACATCTGTACTATGTATGTAAGTATACTGTCAACAATTAATTTAATGTAATTTGTTTTTTTGTTTTTAAGAAATATGCAGTAAAAGGCTGGCACGTTATTAAAATGACAACCTCTTACTGCTTATGAACCCAATACGGGGTCATGTGTTTTAAAATTGCAAGAAATTATAATTTGAAATATATCTAAACTTTATATGCGCTCACGCTTATAATTTTTTCTTCATTCAATATATTGCTTCTGTTGGCATTACCAATTTCCAGAAACCAGAAATTAAACGAAAACAGAAAAAATCATTATACCTTTCACAGGAGCAATTTTTACAAGGATATAATAAAATTTATAGCATGATTTTTATAGTACTTTGTGTAGCAGCTATATGCTATGCCGGACCGATCTAAACAATTTCTTCGGAAATTGTACTCTTGTCTAGGACAATAATCCATACCAAATTTCATGAATATATCCTATCAAATATAAAAGTTTTGCATACAAAGACTGGATTTTGATCAATCAGTTTTTATGAAGTTATGTATATGCTGTAGTGCAGCTTGTATGGCAGCTATGTATATTTTATAGTGTTGCTGGCGATTCCGACAAATGACCAGTTTCTTTGGGAGAGATTTCAGGTCCTGAACAAAATGTCAAAGCAATATCTCAAATACTAAGAGAGTATTTTGCATATATACAGACATACATACAGTTCATAATTCTGATCGTTAACGTATACCATACATATTATATATTTTATAGGTTTTATGACGTTTCTTTGGGGATGTTACAAACGTCAAATTATAATTTCAGGGCATGAATATGTAATTATACATTTGTATATAGTAGATCGCTGTAACAGATGTATACATAGATACATTAGATAGAATTTAATGAGTTAACGGAATATCAATGAAATATTGGACTTTATAATGCATTCGCTTTCATCGTTTATACATTTATTTCCTTGCTAACGTACAGATGCTTACATCACAACTCTATTGCAAATTACTTATACAATTTAGCATTTAATCCTCCCATTCATCATCATTACCAGACGAATCGTCGTTTTCATCATCTGACGGCTGCATGACGCGTTCCCGTTCGAGCAATGCTCGTCTTAAAGCGACCGCCAGAGCATCGCTACCGGCGGGACCAGTGGCGTCATCGCTGTTGCGATTAGCTGGCGTGCGATCATGTGACGGCTTTAATTCAAATCCGCCCCGAATTTCGGACATAAGATCACTATGAGAATCCCCACTGCCAGTGCTTAGTGCAGCCGTATCTACTTTCTGCATCCATTCAAATTAAAACGGTTATTTACATATATAAAATGACTCCAATATTTTTAAATACCTTTAATGTCTTGCCCTTACGTATGCTCTCCAGGAGCGCACTCCGAACGTCTGGTACAACCGGCAATGTTGCTGTTGGTCGCTTTGTTTCTACCGCCGGCGCATCAGTCGTATTTGTTAATGGTGATTCTGTTATTGCTGGTGGTGGTGGTGGAGGTGGTGGCGGTGGAGGAGGTGGCTGTAATTAAAAAAAAAAAAAACATTACCAAAATACATTTGGGAGAAATTGTTGGGAAACTTACTGCTGTGGCTGGTGCAGCCACTATGGTTTGAGGTGGTGCTGGTGGGGGTGGAGCAACGTTTATGGGTGGCGGTCTAGTGGGAGGTGCTGGTGTACGTGTCGCACCTGGCACTGTTGTGGGCACTGGAGGAGGCGGTTGTCTTGCCGGAGGCGGTGGTGGTGGTGCAGTTCTTTGGCTTACAGTTGAACCATTTTGGTGCTGACCGCGATTTAATTATTTGAAAATATTATTATTTATATTAGGAACCGTTTCATGTTTTTGTTTTTTTTTAACTTACATGCTGGTGACGGCTTGGCACAGGTGGAGGCACTGCTGGAGCAGTAGATTTTGGCGATTCAACGCGCTCCGATTTTACCGATGCTAACACATTATTACTCTGAATAAAGTCGTAGATGAATGCACGCGTATCACGATCTTTCAGCTCATTCTCAGATACACCAGCTTTGGCAAAGAAACTTGTGAGTACTTCGTCATTCTCATTGCCCGTTATATCGAAACCCTTATCTGCATCCCAACCGAGATGACTTATGTGCACAAAATTTGTCGGTGTACTTATATCAGCCTTAGTAACTTTTCTCTTCTTGTCCTTGCCGGATGATGAGCCTGAGAGACCAAAACTACTGCTGAGAAAATTCTTTGATGTTGCCACTGGGTTAGGTCCAGGAGTTAGTGTAACTGAATTAATTTTTTGTGGATGGTTTCGCAATTGCACGCTAGAGTCCGTTATCGTTTGACTGATCGCAGGCGTTGGTCTCATAGAGTCCCTATTAACCGGGGGGGGAATATTTGGGGCTGCTTGTGCTTTAGCACGATTCCGCTTTTCTGCATAAAATATTGAATACAAATATTTATGACATTTTTATATTAAACTATTTTAAAATTGGTGTAGAGTAGAGCTCTAACCTAATTTCTTTCGATTTCTCGTCTCAATTGTTGTGTCCACAGCTCTATAAAAGGAATCGCACTCCTCCTCAGAAACAAAATTCAAACCTACGTGCCCATCCTGGTAAAATGCGTACAATTTTTATTATTTTTTTTCTTCCGTAAAAATTCCAATATTAATATACAATGATATTTTTAAGTGGATATAATTGACGCAGATTATAGTATATTTTTTATGAACTATTTTTTTTCTATATTTCTTCAAATATATATAGTATCATTTATTTTTTAATAATAATACAAAATAATTACAAAATTTAGTTTGATAAAGTTCACAATAAGACTATGAAAATTTATACTTTTACTATGAGATATGCATTTTTTAATAGAATTTTGGAAAAATATTTTGAAATTTTTAGTTAGCTCAAGCTTCCCATTTACTATTCACAATTTGGCAGTAATATTTTTTCCATATTAAAATAAAACTAGAGTATATTTGCAAGGATAAGATGTGCATTCTTAAAGTTATTTAACGTCTATTAATTTATACAGTGGACCAATAAAGTTTGCATACACCTAGTTCTATTAAATTACGACGCGTTTATTTGTTTTAAAATTAATAAATTTTGTGGTTTTTTTATCCATATCAAGATATGTATATTTAACATTAAATATAGCATATAAATTTTCTTTTTTTTAACAAATAAAAAAATTAATGCTAAAGCTTAAAATGCGCCTAATTCATATCAAAAAAGTTTACGTACACCAATGATTATGATAATGTCGACGTATGCTCCCCACTCGAATTCTAGAATTATTTCAGTATATTTTGACACACTAAGTCCATGATCCATGTTTTTGGACCTATGGAGTTATTTTTAATTCCTTACCTACCCTGCACGTACAAGATACAATGTGTATTTTGGGTCGGTATCCTGTTGGAAATTCATTTTGTTGCTATTAACAGCCGATTTAAGCACACTTAAAATATAAATTATTTTGTTAAATTGTTCAGAAACATGTATAGAAAAAAATAAAACCCCAAACAGTAGGAAATGTAGTGGATAGTACTGGTTATTATAAAATAGATATACACTTATTATATTTATAACAAGATAACGACCCAAAACACCTGTTTCATCTTGTACGTGCAGTGTTGTTATGGAGATAAAAATAACTCCATAGGTCCCGCAATCACCATACATTAATCCTATTCAAAATATCTCAAACTTTTTGGAAAATCGTATTCGAAATTGAGTGGGGAGCATACATCGATGTCTAGAGACAATAATAGCAACACATTGTAGGCCAAAAACCGCTAAAACTATTGTAATTACTTTTGATTTATATAAATAATCATTAGTGTACGTCAACTTTTTTGATATAAAATATGCCCATTTTGCATAAATTTTTTTTGTTTGTGTAAAAAAAAAAACTATTTTGATTTGATAAATTTAAAGTTATATATACGTATCTTGAAATGTATAGAAAACAAAAACACAAAATTTATTAATTTTATAACAAATAAACGTGCCGTAATTGAATAGAACTAGGTGTATGTAAGCTCTATTGGTCCACTGTATATGTGACTTACTTGGCCTTCGAAGGTGAGAAGAAAAGGTCGCGCCTTTATCATTTTCATGGCGTCGTACAACTCATGTTCCCAAATCTGTTCGTTTTTTATTAAACAGTAAGCTCGTAAGAAATACGATCTTTTCGCGCTATCTTTTACAAAACAAACGACACCAGTATGCTTCTTCTTCCAATGCGAATGTGCGGAACCCTCCGTTTTGTAGATCTGCACCACGGCTGTGTTTAACGTCTGGAACATAACGAAAATTACAAAATCGATTAACTCCGTAATTTCACTTTCATTTTCTGCACAATTTTCACTAAGTAGCCAATTACAAAGTCATTAAGAAGAGTAAAAAAATATTCAAAAATTTAGTGTGTTTTGTTTTTTGGACAACCTTTGTTTGTTTGATCATTAGAAACTCTGTCGATGTGAATGCCGTATATTTTAATATGATGTCTGCTGGTCATGCGCATATCTTTCCCGATTGACCGTACTGACGCGTCTAAACTCTGACTATGCACTTTCAATTTCATTTGCCCACTTTGGGTATTAGCGTCGTGACGATCGATGCGCACAATTACAGAAGTAATAGGAATGCAAAGAGTGAATTCATTTTTTAGACATAATATGGGTATGTATTTGTGGATGATCGCTTATATACATACTAATATATATGAATGGTTCGAATGAACGTGCGATAAAATAGTTTATTTTGCATATCAATACATTTTAGTTGTAAGGTGACAAGACAACATTCACTTGCAATTAACCAATAAAGATGAAAAGACTACTCTAGCGCTTACTAGTAACTTGGTGCGCGAGATGTGGATTGCGCATGCGCGACAATCAGCGTTATTGGCTACTCTTATGTATTCGGATTTTGGCATTGTAACCACGTAAAAATCATATCAGCATACAGAGAAACATTTGGCAATGTCAATGGAACTTGTGCGCAATCCCCAAAAACAAAAACACCAACATTGTAAGCTTAGTGCATGGTATTGAATAAGCTATAACCAAATCATATTAAGAGTGTTAATGTTGCCCACCAACCGAGCGGTCAATAGACTAGTAATCGTAATAGCGAGTATGTATAGATACAAAATTTTTAATAAAAATATAGCTCTGAAAATAAGATTTATAACTTATGCAAAGAAATTGACTATGTACTGTACAATATCCGTTAGCAGTCGGAACGGAAACCAATTTTAATCCGACCGAAGACTGTTATATAGTAGTATATATACTTACAGTATTTGGTCGTCCAATTGCAATTTCTTAGNCAGTCGGAACGGAAACCAATTTTAATCCGACCGAAGACTGTTATATAGTAGTATATATACTTACAGTATTTGGTCGTCCAATTGCAATTTCTTAGAAAACTTTTCGCACACAATAATACTATATATATGTAAATAAAATATTAAGAGCTCCTTTTTTATAATATGTTTAATGTCATAATAGTGGTCATGTTGAAATTAAAAAACCCAAAATTTAATTTCAAATTCTTAAAGTTATAATATTTTATGGCGTGTTTGCACCTTAAGGGGTTAAGTCAGCTTGTGAATTTTAAAGTATCGATATATTTACTGTATTTCGAATGTACATATATTTGAAAGTATTATCCGACGAATAGTTTGAGAGATATGTAAGAATTTTTAAAGATAGATTAATAGGTCCCCAAACTTTAAATAACACTTGCAGGTGAGGAAAATTTCTTTGAAATGGCTGAAAATTTCACACGACCTTTTAAAATACATTTGTCCAGAAATTATGAAAGAAATAAGGTTTTGACAATAATTTAAAATTTTTTGGGAAGTCATTGTTTTACAAAATAAAATTTCTGACTATAAAAGTACATACATGTAATTTTGTAAATGCACTTTTTGCATTTAAATATTAAACAGGCCACTTCCAAAAAAAAATTTCAAAAATTCTTCTTGTTTTTTGCAATGAAAGTGGAAAATCGAAGATTTAATATTTATAAGCTTTAATGCTTGCTTGAGAAATTTATGTATATTATACAGCTAGTACATGGAAGATTATCCCATTTACTTTAAAGTCATATTTGTTCAATTATAGATAAATATATTTATTAATATAATATAGGCATAACCTAGTAAAGCAGTAGCGTCTCAAAATGAAAGATCCTTGCACTCCTCATAACACAGCCGACCACACATACCATACAAGGGACAGCAACCGCACCAACTCTGAAAACATGCATATAATACTGCTTGTGCTTTTGTGCATACAAAAATATATATGTATAGATGTAGTTGTTATAGCCATTTATGTATTGATATAAAATATGCAACGTGTATCAGGAGCCTGTATTAAAAATAGCTTATATGTACTTAAGGGGTTAAATGAAGATGGGCATTTTTTCTGTTTGCTGGTCTCTAAATTTACATACATATGTTGTATATGTGACCTGTTCTACGGAAAGGGGGCTTAGGTGTCAAAAAATCTTAGTTGATTCGGACGGAAGATGAGATGCTTTTTCACGTCATAGAATCCAAAAAGTCATAAACTAGTTTTCGCACGTTAGCTCCCTTTTTGATCGATTAACTACTTCAAGAAGTTCTATGCAGTAAGGCATAAGGCAAGGACGAAGTTTATTAATCAATAATTGTCAAGTAGACTAAACACCGTAACCACGACCAAGCGTAACATTCCCGAAAAAATAAATATTATGTTAATGTTAAAGTGAAAATTACATTTTCTGACCTTTTTAAAAATATTCCTGACTTCCAATATAAGTAACATAATAATAATTAAATATTGATATCATTAACATACGTGGTTTGCTACCCCAACCTATTCCTCCTAACATTACTATTTGGCACAAAAAATAAACTTGCATCAACGCAAGGTTAGACAAGCTTCTCAACTCAATTATATCAGTGATCATTACAATAATGACTTGTTTACCTGGCACTCAAAGTGCCTTTTGAAACATTGTTGTGTTGCTATTTATGCGAGCTTTGTATTTGGATGCGGTGAGTGCAGTAGGCCAACCGGTCTATGTGTGGCGCCACACTTTAACCTGCATTTTGTCGAATCAATAAATTTGCCATTGTCTTTTTGCTGTTTGCAATGCATTTTGTAACTGTGTTTTTTGAACTTGCCTGAAAATGTTATTTTCCATTGTATGTGTTGGTGGAATATCGAAGCAAAATCTTAGTTGAATGTTATGTAATATTTTTATGTCGACCGTAAGTCTAATTAGAAAAATTACTGAGAAATTGTGTATACTCAATGAGAGAGCTTTCAAAATATATGCTCTTCAGTTTTTTTGTTTTATTGGTTACTTAAATAAACACTTTCAAAGCTAAAAAATTGGTTTTATCTTTGTTGATATGTATTAAATTTGACTAATTTGAAATTTACGATGTTGAAGCTTTTGTAGAAGAATGTGTAATATGTTCGCGAATTTTGAAGCCCATACAATTTCCTACAATCAAGCAGACAAATGGCTTTTGACTACTACTAAACTACTTCTTGAACATCGTCAATCATTTTTCATTTATGTAATTTACTCTAAAATAAAAAAATAATACCATATTCATGATATAGTTTAGTCATATTTTTCTTAACTTCATGTCAAAAATCACGCTAAACAAACAAGTTTGCAACTTCCTGATAAGTGTCATAATCACTTTAATTGTTTTTGTTTGTGCGTTTCATTGTAAATCTTGTTCATGCAGGTATATAGTGATAACTCGAATGTACATATGTATGAGTAAACATATTTTATAGATAGTAAGCACTTATTTTCAAGAACAACTTGGCAAAAAAAAACATTTAGATTATTAGCTTTAGAAAAGAGGGAAAGTATCCATTAATACAACTATTAACTAACAAATCAGATGACCATCCCAATAGAAACAAAAAAATAAATAAATTGTATACTATATATTGATAACAAACCAAAGCCTACAAATATTAATGGATATATTCCTATTAGGAGTAATGAAAAAATCGTAAAGTTTATTTACGTGAATATATGATAATAAAAATATATGAGTATGACCATCAATCGATAACACCAGAAGTAGACGTGATTACCCAGGTGATTTTTTAAGACCAATGTCGGCCATCAGTTCGTGCTTATGCACTAAGCAGTTGTCGTAATCACCAGAGTGAACACTGTAGCGTAAAACATATGAGTTGAGTTATTTATTTTTCGCATTGTGCAACCTAAATACTATGGCTAGGATTCAAATTTGATAATAATATAATATTTATTTTTCAATATATCATTGTCTTTATAGATAGATAGGTGTTATTATGTGTAAAAATTTCAAACTTTAATTATTATGATAACAACACATTTTAAATCTTAACTTACTCTAATTTCATATTATTACTATTACCAAAATAATACTTAAAAAAAAGTTTTTATTCTTTAGATGGGTGTATTATTTGGATTCCGCCTGTTTGAATTGTTTGCTAAGGTGATATGGTTTCTGAGAATTCTAACAATAAATATTTATATGTTTTTTTATAGTAATTCTTTTAAAACAGAGGTTTAATTGAAATTTTATTCATATTTCCATAAAATGCTTTAAACAAAAACAATAATACAACAGTTTTAGTTGATTGTGATGGTAGATAGAAAAATATTGCGAATTTTATAACTTATCTTATCGCATTTCTGTAATTAACCAATTGTATTTATACGTTCATGCAAACATATGTGTTAAATAGTTTGTAGATATTGATATTTTCTAATCTACACATACTTACGTTAAAATCTACAATAAATATGTACATAATACCAGTGTGGCTCAAATATTTTCAAGATAAGACCAGGTATGATGATAAAAGAAATAGCTAACCACTTTACGAAGTTTAGAACGTTAATTTTTTATCCAAAATTTATTTTATTAAAAATTTAATGAAATCTGATTACACATAATTGACATTTAAGGTACATTATTTAAATTATTATGATTTCTGCTAAAACAAGCAACACTTTTACCTGGGCCTACTGGCAAAAGCGACGTATAAAGAAACCTTGGTTAAAGGAATTATTGATTATAATATATTTATACTGTTATCATTAATTTCCCTATTGACTAACTAAGCTATTACTAATTCAAACTTATTATTATTAATTATTTTACTCAGACTTTTTTTTACACTATATTTTCAAATGTACATAGCTGATTCGAATTAGTTCAATAAATAAATATTTGTTAGTAAGTTTTTCGTTTTTTCACTATATTATATTTTCATTTTTATATTTTTTTTAACTGCGTTGCTGCTTTATTGTTCTAAAATGGAAAAATCGAAAAACGAAATATAACTCTGTGTACTACTCACCTGACATTTTTTGCCCAGCAAACTGAAGACAACTTCATTCTCATCCTTGGTCAATAAGTCACTAGAAGCATTCATCTTTGGACGCGTGCCCACCTGCCCATCTTGTTGTCTGATAGTTGCACTCATTTGTATATTTACTTATTTCTGATTTATTCCGAGTAAAAAGAGCTTCACTTATTTGTAATTGTTGTTTTATTTAAAGATTTTTGTCAAGCATAACGCTGAATGCTTAAGTTTTAAGTACTGACCAACGTTTCACAACAATCAAAAAAATATCTATTTCGACCTTTAATGTGTAGTACTGGAATGACATGAACGTAACAAAAAAAGTAATCAAACCTAAGTTACTACTAATAAGCATACCATAACCAATCAGTCTAGTGACACACGTTTCGTCACCATCTGAAAAACAGTAATTATTAAAGTTGCTGAAGAAGCGGCCCGAATTTTCGAAGAATGAGCTCTACTGATACCGTTTGAATTGTTGAGTCACAACCAATTTGCCTCCACCATGAAAATCTATTAATTTCTTGTTTCGTTTTTATACACATATAAAAATACTATTGCCTTACTTCAAATAGAATTCAGATTATATTCATTTAAATATCGCATGATAAATTTTTGGTTAAATGCTGCACATATTTAGTCTAACAAAGTTAAAGTTATTATAATAATAACAAATATGTACATATTGTATTGAAATCAGTTTTTATTCGCGTTTTAATTATGGTTTTTCAGTGGGCGTGGACACGTCGTCTGCAATAAATTAAGTTGCTGATGGTGGAAGATTATTACAAAAGTATTTTGCCACTTATTTTTAGGCCTACATCAATTGAAAATCGTGGTATTCTTTAAGGTTTCTTTATTATAAGTCGTTTGTACAGTTCTGTATTTTGAATTTTACGTATAGTACACAAACTGTTTTTTGCTTTTCACATTATGACAGGCTTGATTTCAATAATTTCTCAAACTGATATATTATCTTTAATTTATTTGGGATTTTTAACAAGCGGTTCGCAATTAGAAGTTGTAAACCCAAAATGCAAATGAATCGAAAAATTTTGCAAGAAACTCTTTTTTTTTTTTTAGAAATTTTTCACCACCGATATTAAACGTCAAACTCTAATTGGCAACAAGGTAAGTCAACGAAATGGGCTCATTCATGAATTGTTGACTGAAACAAATGAAATCAAACTTAAAGAGCTAACACAGTCACCGTCAAAATAAATGTGTTTTTGTCATCTGTTGTTTGCATTTATGTACACACCTTTTGATAATAGCAAAGTGCATATGATATATATATTTAATATACACTTTGCACAAAATCATAAAATAGTTTTTCATTTTAGTTAATTATTAAGCTGTCTTTAGATACCAATTACAAATGTATTAATATTATAAATGTCCTACTGTTATGTTCCTATTCCATAAGTTCTTTTGTAAAATATCACAGAGTTGCATTACATTTGGCATTATTGCCATAACATTTGAAATAATACAGTTGTAATTCTGGGTAATAAAGTTATTTTTAGTACCGGATAACTTCTTTGTACACAATTAAAGTGAAAGAACGGCAAGATTCCGATTACTTTGGCGGATGGGTAAAAAAACCGTATAAATGTAGTCTGTGCGGATAGGGGAGCTTCTCCAAATGAGGAATATCGAAAAATAATATAAAAATAACTTATATTTTTTAAAATATTCACAATTAAAAGTTCAAAAATTTGCACTAATAACACGTGGAATTTCTATATATTTCACTAAATTTATTCACGTTTTTCATTCTGTATATTTAAATATAAACATTGAAATAAGTTCACATATTAATTTTATTTTGTAATATTTTCCCTAAGATTATTAATTTAAAAATCATTTAGTACACTCGTCGTTGCAAAGGTTAGATCGTTTACAATTATTAGGAAAACGAGCGTTGCCACATCTTAAACACCTAATATGTAGGATTCTTGACGATTTTTTACTTTTTTTTTGCGTGTTCTACATTAATTACATTTTTGAAGTTATAATTGAGTTGTGAACACTTTTTCCATCTACATATTTATAGAGATAGATAGATAAATAATTGAGGAATGCACCGCGGCCTTAGGTCTACTGTGCCCTCTCCTAACTCACAGGGACTCGCTTAGCCCTAGCATATTGATGAAGTCCATTATTTTGCTGAGTGCTAGCGAGGCAATGTGATCCCTATCCAGAAACATGGCTCCAAGGGCCTTCGACCTGCGCCTACAGACTGCAATACCTTTCTCTGCCTACTCTTTCTTCCTTGCGGAGCAGCTCCTTTACAGTATAGGGACCCACCCCAGTGAACGGTTCGGGCGAAACCATATTGGTGGAGGCTATACCCCTGTGACCGGTGCACCTGGTTCTTTTCAGCTAGGTTGTTCAACCGTTCTCTGCACTCCTGCACCAATATCGATTTGATCTCGTAGGAGGAGATCGCTTTTAGTGCCGCTTAGGATTTGGCCAAGGAATAGTCCTTCCTTGCTACTTTGGGTATGAAGATCACCTCTGCCGTCCTCCATGGGTCAGGGATATACGCCATTGCGAGGCTCTCCCTCACCAGCCGAATAATAATTCCCACGACAGCCGGTTCTACGCACCGGAATTGACTCGGATTTCATCCGACCATGGGCTGTCATTTCGGCGATCTAACCCCGTTTGGATCGGTGAGTGTTAATTTGTGTGTGTCGTCACTGGAGCAACGCCTTGCAGCAGGGTTGCTCCACATCCTCCAGACTCGTGCTGGCATTGAGTCCAACCCGGGCCCGGAGGAATTTTTCTGCTGCGTTTGCGCGAAAAGGCTCCATCCAAACTCCACCTCGGTCAGGTGCAACACATGCAATGGATGGAGCCATCTTAAGACCTGCTCAAGCCTTAAGACCCATAGGGAGTGGACCACGCGTTACGTGGCCCCATGTTGCCTACGCAATATGGCGACGTTAGCCTCTACGGCTGTGCAATCTGCACTTAGYTCGCGCGCTGCGCCGCCACCCACCTCGAGTGGCCAACAGAGGACCTCCACGGTCCCCCGGAGCTCAACTAGGCAACATAGCTCCCACTCTGACTTGTCCCCCCCCAACCTTCATCCCGCTCCAATCCTCGTGCGAGAACCAATCAGCAACTCTTGGTCCCTCGCACAGTCTGTTCCGTGTGTCAGACCGCCATACGTCGGAACGTCACATCAGTCAAGTGCAACTCTTGTGCAGGCTGGTGTCACTTCCCGGCGTGTTCCGGCCTGCGCACCACACGTGAGTGGAGTGAGTCGTACGTTGCCCCATGCTGCAAGAGTCTGCCCCCGCAACACACAACAGTGGCGTCCCCAACTAACACCCCAGTGCGACAACCGCCCATGCGGGTTCTGCAGCTGCAACAAATACCACCTACACGTCTCTCCCTCACCCCCAGGATCACCCACGGACACCCACGACAAACGCGACTACTTCAATTYAACTGCAACGGACTCCAGAGTAAGATCGAGGAGATAGTTGCACTTATGAATCGGGAGCGCGTATCGATAGCTGCGGTCCAAGAAACCAAGCTTAACAGCCACTCAGACCTCCTGAGTTGTGCCGGTTTCAACGTCATACGTAAAGATCGCGAGCGATATAATGGTGGTGGCCTAGCCTTCATATTGCACAACACCGTGCAGTWTCGTCTRATCGATGAAGACATCGACCGCAGGGATACTACCCYAGAATGTCAGGGCATAGCTATCCGGTCAGGCGATGTCGAGCTCGAAATATTTAATATATACATCCCCCCCGTTACATGTTGCCCTACAGGATATCACCCGAATATAGGTGCGCTACTTCGTGGTGAAAATCGTTTGGTGCTAGGCGACTTTAACGCGCACTACGATCTTTGGCATTCCTGTCTGTCAAATGACCGTAGGGGGATGGAGCTGGCGGAACAGATYGACGATTCGACATTCTGCACAATGAATGACGAAGCCCCCACCAGAGTTATGGGCACCTGTAGTAGCTCGCCCGATATCACAATCGTTAGTGGTGGTCTGACCTGGCGACCTATGCTAACTCTCACATCAGACCATCTGCCCATAATTATCTCGATCAAGAAACCTGCCGATTTTGTTTCTGTGGACAACCGCACCTTCGTTAACTTCAACAAAGCTAACTGGGTCGGCTTCACAGAATTTACTGAGAACACCTTCAACGCTCTACCCATTCCTACGGACGTATACATTGGCGAAMGTCATTTCCGCAAGGTGATCGCAGCAGCTAYCGCTCGCTTCATACCTGCTGGACGAATAGCGGAAATCCGCCCCGATTTCCCAGCTGAAGCAGCTGTCTTAGCTAATGAGCGCGACACCTTACGCCATGCCGATCCCGGGGATCCCCGAATAAGGGATCTCAATTCGGAGATTCRGCGYATGGTAAACCAGCATAAGCGGACGAAATGGATAGAGCACCTGAAGTCCTGCAACCTCTCCACCGGTGTGAGTAAGCTTTGGGCTACTGTCAAAGCTTTGTCTAACCCGAAGAGGCACGACGACCGAGTTGAAGTTCAATTCAATGGT